CTTATCCCTGGAGGACCCCAGCGCCCACTCCTTGGACCTCCAGTCACCCTAGATGATCTCAGCCAGTCTCGGGCTTTAGAGGCCATCCAAATGCGAGGAGTTTCCCAAATTATGTCTCCAGCCCAGACCTGCCTATTTGACATCCTTACCTGGATAGCTAATGTTAGGTACTGTAAAGTTGGTTCCGACTCCTAGTGACCCCATTTGACAGAGTAGAACTGCCCCACAGCGCCAGGCAGCAAAGGCCTCCACTCCCTCTCCCGCCTTCTGGGCGCCCCTCCCCCAATACAGCACCCTTACTGGAGCCAGAAAAGGAGAGCCTGGAGGCAAGTCAGCTGACGCCAGCAGCGGCCTGTGGGACTCGAGCAAACCCCTCTCCCTGGGCCTCTGCTGTCCCGGCAAGTGTGGTGGGTTGTGGGAACAGATGGCCAGGTCTTTCTCCCGTGGAGCCGCCGGTAGGTTTGAACCACTCAACCTTTTGGTTAGCAGCCAAGCACTCTCAAATTTAACTTGTCTGAAATGAAGCTTCACCCCAGACCTGCCCTTCCTGCTGCCAGCCCCATCTCTGTGAGGCAGTCAATGGCGGCTCCATCCTTCTGTGTCTGTGTTGTTCACTTCTGTATCCCTAGTGCTAGAACAGTCTCTCTCATGTTAATAGGTGCTCAATAAATACATGAATGAATGAAAAGCTTAAAGAAGCTCAGATGTGGGTTAGATCTTTATGGTCTTGGAAGGGCTGAGATGGAGGCAGGAAACCAAAGAAGGGGCTGAATGTCCAAATAACAGATGTCAAGGACTGAGCCCCACAGGCCCCACCCCCAGAATGAAGAGGAGGAAGAGCCAGCGCAGGGCAGACTGGTAACCTTCAGTGCTCCCTCGCCTTAGTCTAGTCCTTTGTTTCCAACTCCCCCCCTCATGCTAAGGCCCCCTCTCCCCACCAATGCCTGTGTACAGTGAGCCCAGGACTGGGAAGAGTAGGGCACATCAGCCCCTACCCCCTTCTTTCCCCCTGCCCAGCCCCTACATCACAGCACAAGGGAGACCCATATCTCTGCAGACAAGTAGGCTTGAGCCCCAAGAATCCCAGCTCCGGGCTCCACTCAACTAAGCCCTCACACAGGCCCCAGATGCGCTCCAAGCTGAGCCCCCTGGAGTGCGTGGAATCTTGGAACACAACCCACCACACTTGCCGGGACAGGAGAGGCCCAGGGAGAGGGGTTTGCTTCGAGTCACTCGGGGTGTCTGCGTCTTGGCAGGAAGGATGCTGTACTGGGGGAGGGGTACCTAGCTGGCAGGAGAGGAAGTGAAGGCCTGTGCTGCCTGGCACTAACTCCCTTTCCCACCAGGCCCCAGGGCCACCCTTGCAGCCCCTGCCAGGTGTTGGGGTGGTCTCCAGCCTTTCCTGACCCAGGCCCGGCCCTCAGTGCAGACTGCCTATCCCCCTAGAAGTGGGTGCCTTGTGCATAGTGATGACCCTCGTAAGAAAGTGGCCACTGAGCTTGGGCCCCAGGCTCTTCCACTTCTAAGCTTCAGTGGTGGGCTAAAGCTGTCGTCTGTCAAAGATGGTAATGACGCCCCCTTCCTCCTGGCCCTCACTCCAGGATCCTTGTACTGGTGCAGTGCAGTGGTCAGGCCTGAACGGGGTGGGGCCAGGGCAGTGAACAAGAACGGGTCCTTTCCTCTTAAGAGATCTGCATCAAGTGGGAAGCTAACAGCGAAGACACCCCTACCAGGGCAGTGAGAGTTGTGCTCCTGGGGGTCACAAGCCGAGGGGTGACTGGGAGGGGCACTCAGTGTTCTCCATCCCGCAGCAGGGTAGGCAGAAACAAGTGAACCAAGCAGCAAGTGCGCTCACAGCACCCGCAGGCCCTCCGCTCGGGCCCCAGGATTTGCGTTCCCCTCCAGCTCAGCACCCTCCACTCCCTTGCTGTCTATGCCTGACTCCTGCTCTGGATAGTCCTGGTGGCAACCAAGTATTGAACGGTATCTGCCATCATCTCCACTTTCTTTTCCAGCACTGGGCCGGCACATGGTAGGTGCTCAGCATTGGATGAGCCCAAGTTTCCTCATCCCGACAGGGATGTTTCCCAATAGTTCAAAGGTGTCCTGGTGCGGAGAAAAAGCCTAGGACACGTTATTCAAGGTGAGAAGGGAAGGGCCAAATATAATCTTCTGGATCCTTCCAGCTACTCCCCATCACACTCATTGGGACTGTCCCCCAATATGGTAACATAATGCTCTTACTGTGTGCGAGGCACTGTTCTAAACATTTTACAAATACTAACTTATCCCGACAACCACCCCATCAAGTAGGCAAACCATTATCCCCATTTCATAAACTAAGGATAGAAGTGTACATTAACTTGCCCATGGCCATGCAGCAAGAAGTGGCAAAGGCGGGATCTGAAGCTGGCAATTTGCAACGTGGTACCCTCAGATCCTTGTAAAGGGGGAATGAACCCCCACTTTGCCCAGGCCCTGTGTGTCCACCTCCCCTCTTGCTGCAGGCCTAGAATAAGGTTCCCAGAGGTCCACGTAATGCAGGGAACGCATGACAGGGAGCCTGGACTTCTACTTTCTAAGCACTGTCAGAGTCCACTGTTGCTCACCTCAATCCAGCTCAGCACTTCTTGCCTTAATGACAGCTGGAAGTGGCTCTCCTACATCCTGCCCAGACTCCTCAATTCATCTTCTGGGCTACAGACGGCATAGTTTTTCTAAAATTCAAGAGATTGTGCTATTCTTAAAATCCTTCAAGAGTTCTCCATTGCCATAGACCAAAAAAGAAACCAAATCCACTGCCATCGAGTTGATTTTGACTCATAACAACCTTACAGGACGGAGTAGAACTGTCCCATAGGGTTTCGAAGGCTGTAATCTTTATGGAAGCAGACTGCCACATCTTTCTCCTTCGGAGCAGCTGGTAGGTTTGAATCGACATTTTGAGTACTTAACTATGGTGCCACCCGGTCTTAACCCCAAACCTAACCCACTGCTGTCAAGTTGATTCTGACTCATAGCAACTCTACAGGACTGGGTAGACTTGCCCCATGGGGTTTTCAAGGCTGTAATCTTTCCAGAAGCAGACTGCCACATCTTCCTCCCGCAGAGCGGCTGGTGGGTTCCAACTGCCGACTTTTCAGTTAGCAGCCAAGCACTGTGCCACCAGGGCTCTTAGAGGTTTTTTTTTAAAAAATAAAACAGCCTCCCTGGGCCCAGCACCTAAGGAGCTCAGGCCTTAGCTCTCTCTGTGGCTGCCTTGTCAATCCCAGCAGCCCCCACCAGATAGCACTTCAGGTTTAGGGGGGCATTTGGTGAAGCAAATTCCACTTGAGGCGAGAAAGCAGATTGTGGCTGCAGCCCACAGGGTCAACCCGGCCCAGGCTGACTCCCGACTGGAAACAGGTCACCAGGCACATTTTTCTACTTTCAGAAGAATAAAAGACATTCTGGCAAACCAAGATGTGTTTGCAAGACAAGAAATCGAAACTGACTTTTAGAATGTCCCCAAATATTTGACGTAAGACTGATGTCTTCCCTTCCAGCCCACCTTCCCCAAAGGTCACCGCAACTCCACAGAAAATGCATAATTAACATGCTCAGGAAAGAAGGTAGATGTCTTAAAAAACACAACAAAATCTTGTTATGTGCTGGGTACAAAAACTCTGTGCCCAACCAGTCACCTTGCATTTTGTAATCAGTATAATAAACTCCAACCCATGTTCCCCCAAATATTGTCAGGAAGGGCTGCGGAAAAAAGATGTCCCTTTAATAAAACCTTATCAACATATATCGTACACAAACTACAATGTATCATAATTACTTTTTTTTTTCCTCTCTTAATTCAGAACCAGACTACAAGGTAAGAAAAAACACAGAAACAGCTACAATGTTCCCAATAATCCGCACAAGGTCTTTTTTCAGGCAGATGATATCTCACATAATATGATATACATGGATCAGAAAGGGGAGGTAATAAAACAAAGACCAGCTACAGGGTCGAGGAGAGAGGAGGAGAGGGGCGTGTAAATGTACAAACAATTCGGGTGTCTTCGAGGGCAAGACACAAAGGTTTCGATGGGGTGGTAAGGTGAGCGAGGCCATGAGTCGCCCCTCCTGGGAGGGGACAAGCTCCACTGCTGGGTTGGTAGGTTTTTGAAAATAAAAACAGGACCGGAAACAGCACGTCTGTTTGGTTGTTGGTATCCCCCCCGCCCCCCGCGATTCCAAAGTCTTTCCATCCAGTTCCAAGCATATACAGAGCAATTCTGGTCAAGATTTCATCTTTGAAAAGGAAGAATAAAGAAAAACAAAAACAAAAGAAAACCAAAAGCCCAGCCCCAACCTGCCCGGACACGGACGACGAGGATGCGAGGGGTCTCGGGGAGGAGAGCGCAGAGGTCACAGTTTCCATGTCCCAGGTCATAGCCATCCTGTCAGTGGTGGCCTCTCCCACGCTGGCTCCAGCCACCACCCAGCTGGCAGGATTCTCGCTGGGAAGAACAGGCGGGGGCCGAGGAGGGGGCTGGAGAGGCAGGGAGGCCAGGGCGGAAAGGAGGTCCAGGAGACAGAGTAGGGCGCAGTCCTGGGAACACAGTGCAAGCCACTGGGTCACGGCGAAGGTCTGGGCCGTGGCGGGGTCCTAAAGCGGGCTGGGTGGTCTGGCCCCTCTGGCCACAGGATGGGGGCTCTGGGGAGGGGCTCCTGGGGTCCAAGTTGTGCTGCTGCCGTTGCCACCGTGGCCGGAAAAACTGAGCAAAATCAGAACAGGTTCCCGCCCCTCCCTTGACCATCTGCACAAACCAGAAACCCCAATTGGAAAAGGGTGACTTCCTTTTTTCTTTCCAAAAAAGGCCTTTTGAAAGAAACCACCAATTGTGAATTGTCCAGTTTATTATTTTCAGACGGCTACAAAGACAGCATGAGCGCTCACACCTAGACTACCTTTCCTGGTGGAAGGACTGGGGACAGTCAGACAGCAGGGCTGGCTTTTTTTTTTTTTTTTCCTTTTTTTCTTTTTTTAAAGAAGAAAGCAAAGAGGTTGATTGGGGTGGGGTGGGGGGCTTGCTAGAGGATTGCATTTTTAAAAATTTTTCCCCCAAAAAACCCCCCTGAAAACAAATAAAAAAATCCCAACAACAATAAAACCCCAAACAAAAACAACAAAAAAGTGTCATGTACATAAAAGTTCCTTTCGGGAAAGGGCAAGGGGTGGGATTTTTTTTCTGGTCGTTGACTTGAAATATATTTTTATTTTTAGTTTTGTCCTTCATGTTTTATGGAATAAAAAGTTCAGCCTTTTTATTGCATGAAACTAAAATTGGGGAAGGTGAGGGGTGTGGAGGGGGATGATGGAAGGGCTGAGGGGAGCGGGGAGGTGCCCCTCTACCAGCTCCTGGGTAATGACACCTCACTTCTTCTTGCATAATTTCTGGCATCTTCCCGCCTGCAATGCCGGCTCTCTCAGCGTCTCGAAGAGGAGGAGGAGGGAGGGGCGGATCACACACTCATCGTCATGCTTGGAGAATACTGGAAGGGGAGAAGCAAAGAAGGGGGTGTTGTGAGGACTAGCAGCTGGGGGAGGCTGTAGGCAGGGCTGAGAAGGTTCACGGCACAGAGCTGAACAGGGCTAGTTGAGGGCTTGGTTGGGCTGAGAGGCGTATGACCCACTGGGTGGGAGGGTTCAGGGCCCATTCTCAGCGTGAGCCTGTGCCCCTCCATCAGGAACTATGGGAGCAAGTGTAGTCCCCCCCGCCCCTTTCCTCTTCAAATCACCCCTTTCTCCAGCCCGAGGAAGCGGCTGCCCCTGCCCTTCCCCAGTGCGGCAGGCGGCTTTCTAGAGTTGACCACGGGATAGTGGGGAGCTAGGGTCTGCTGAGCCAGAGCCCTGCCAGGGGTGCCCTGGGGTGGGATCCAGTCTGGGGTTCTCAAAAGCTGGCTCAACCATAACTCAGTTTCTTCATATGAGATGTAATAGCAGCTCAATGTGGAAGAGTTGGCCGACCCTTTCACATTTGGAGACCTTTGGAAATTCACTGGTTGCATGAACCTTCCTCCCTGGAAATTCACTGGTTGCATGAACCTTCCTCTCCAGGACAGATGGAAACAGCCCCCAGCAGCGACACTGCCCCGGAGACCCCAAGGGCCGAGGCCAGGGCTATTCCAGCCCCATCAGCTTAATCAGTGCTGCGGGCGTTGTGCCTGCTGTGGGTGCCTAGGGACGGACCCGCCAGGAGTCAGACTCAGTGGCAGTGGTCAGAGCCGTGCTGGAGGGAGGAAGTGGGGCTTAGTGGGGCAGCCCTGAAAACCAGCCCAATGGGTGGGAAGCAGCCGAGGCAACTTTTCCAATGAAGAGCCCCCTAGGATGGCGATCCAGGGATGGAGTGAGGGGTGCCATTCGAGTGCGGGGCTTACATTGTCATTTTGGAAGGAGTGGAGGAAGTTCCCTCCTAGCTCGCTGTCGTCTCGTGGAGTGCCCGGAGGATTGCTAATGCCACTTATGTTGTTGGGAGAATTCTGTGGACAGAGGAGGGAGAGGTGAGGCCCCACCCCCATGTCCTCAGCAACTTGCCCACAAAGGGAGAAAGGCTTTGCAGGGAGCCCCAGAGGAGGGCCGGGGGTGCTGTCAGGGAGGAGGCACTGAAGGCAGACTCACTTTTGGAAGTCCATCTATGTCGCCTGACCCTGGAAGGAAAGAAGAATCGGATTCAGTTTCTTGCTCACTCTCCTGTGGAGGGGCTTCCAGAGAGATCCCCTCCTCCCTGTGCTTCTCCGGCATCCAAGCCCATCCACCCAAATCCTACGCCATTCTGTGCAGAGAATTTTCTGTTTGGGCAGTGTCTTTCTCTCAGGACCTTACTGTGTGCCCACCCAACTTGGAGGCCGTGTACTAGGCCGGCTTGAGCTGGGAACTGAGGCAAGGAGAAGGCGGCCCAAGCAGGGCGTGGCAGGGCCTGGTGTGCCCGGGAGCAGGTGGCTTACCTAACGATCCGTTCATGTGGTGTGGCTCCATGCCGCCCATACCTCCCATCGGGCCGTCAGAGCCAGGACCCATTGGGAACTGAGGAAGAAGTACAAAACAGCAGCTCAGTGGGCCTACGGACCTATGCAGGCCCTCTCACAGGCTCCCACACCCAGGGGTTCAGTCCACAAATGAGAACCGAGCACCTGCTAGGCCCCAAGCATTGGGCCACAGCTGCAGCAAGAATCCTGCCCTCAGGGAGTTTCCATGCTGGTGGGCTTCTCTCCCACACGCACTAGGACATTTAGCGCCCCAGGAGATTGGAGATGGCACCTTAGCATGGCCCTCTGAGTTGTGCAGGGCAGAGGAGCTCATGCCCATGTGACGGGTGAGGAAACAAACCCAAGGTCAGCCGGTGCCATGCAGAGCCAGCTCTCACTCTAAAGCCTCTCGGACCCATTGCTGTCACACTAGCCTCGTCCAAGTGCTTCCTTAAAAATGAAGAAGCTTCTTGGGGGCGGGAGGTCCTGAAAGACAAAGCTGGGCATTGGCCATCAGGAGGGGAGCATGCCCAGAGCTGTCTCTGGGGGCTGTGGGCAGTGGAGGGCAGTCACAGAGGCAGCTCCCATGCAGAATCGATGCTGCCCGCAGATCAGAGCCTCAGAAATGGGATCTACGCTATCCTACCCCCAGGCTTGTTAGGAACTAGCGAACCCATCCACAAAGGAAGCAACTGGAAACCAGGGAGGCCACACTGCACAGCCACGAGACACAGGCTGGGGATGGGCCCTGGAATAGCACAGTGGGAGGGTGCGGACACTGCAGAACTGAGGGCTGTTCGGCATCTGGCCTGTGCTGGGCACTGAGGACGCAGAGCGGAGCCACACCTGGGCCTCAGCCTGGAGAAGGAGCTCACCCAACGACCCTACAGGACAGAGAGCTGCATCCCTGCAGCTCCAGGTGAGGGAGCTAGAAGGGGGGCAGATAAACCACAGCAGGCTACCTGTAGGAGGCAGGCATCAACGTAATTGGGGAGTTGGATTTGGGCAGGCAGAGAAGGGCCATGGGAAGTCATCTCAGGCAGGGATGCATACGAGTAAGTGGAGTGGGCACTCTAGCCTGGAGCAGGTGGCGAAGAGGTGTGTGGGGAGTGAGGTGGAGACCAAGCTGCAAGGTGGGGCAGGGCACGAGCCACTTCCCAGGCCGCTCCCCGGCGGCGTCCCAGGATGGCCGGGAGACTTCAGGGCACAATTTGCCATCTGCTAACAAATTTCATACCCATTAACCCAAGCAACGCAAGGAGGAGGGTGGCCAATTTTTCAGATGCCAACCTGGGACACAGCCACACCAGACCAAAAAATCCCAAGACATGGTAGTATCTAATAAATAATTACGCACGTGTGCGTTATTGCTTTAGCACAGACATACGAAAAACAGGTTCTTACTTGAAACTGTATATTATTATTATTATTATGTTTAACAGGTTTGTAACTGAGATATAATTTGCATAACTACAATTCACCCACTTTAAGTGTCTAAATTCAGTGAGTTTTAGTATATTGACAGAGTTCTACAAGTATTGCCACAGTCAATTTTAGAACATTTTCATCCCCGAAAGAAACCCTGTAATCCAGTAGCAATCAGCTCCCCATTCACTGCTCTTCTCAGCCCCTGGCCACCATTACTTTACTTTCTATCTCTACAGATCTGGCTATTACTGCTCCATTTCTAGATACACAGAAATGGAGTCATACAGTATGTGGCCTTTTGTGTTTAGCTTCTTTCACTTAGCATAATGCTTTCAAAGTTCATCCATGTTATAGCATGTATCAGTACTTCAGTCCTTTTAAGGCTGAGTAATATTCCATTGTGTGTATAAACCACATTCGGTTTATCTATTCATCTGCTGTTTCTATTTTTTGGCTATTATCACTAATGCCACTATGAACATTCATGTACGAATTTTTGTGTGGACATATGTTTTCATTTCTCTTGGGTATATATCTAGGAGTGGAACTGCTGGGTCATATGATGTCTATGTTTAACCTTTTGAGGAACTGCCAGACTGTTTTCCAAAGCACCCACACCATTTTACATTCCCATCAGCAATGTATGAGGGTTCCAATTTCCACATCCTAGTCAACACTTGTTATTATCCGTCGTTTTGAATATAGCCATCCTTGTGGGTGTGATGTGCCATCTCATTGTGGTTCTCATTTGCGTTTTCCTGATGGCTAATGATGCTGAGCATTTTTTCATGTGCTTATTGACCATTTGTACATCTTTTCTGGAGAAATGTCTACTCAGATACTTTGCCCATTTTTAAATTAGGTTGTTTTACTGAGTTGTAAGAGTTCTTCATATATTCTGGAGATACAAGTCACTTATCAGATATATAATATGCAAGTATTTTCTCCCATTCTGTGGGTTGTCTTTTCAGTTTCTTGGTGGTGTCCTTTGAAGCACGGAAGTTTTTAAGTTTGACAAAGTCCAATTTATCTATTTTTCTTTTTAGTCACTTGTGCTTTTGGTGCCATACCTAACAAGGTTTTGCTTAACCCAAGCACATGAGGATTTATTCCTATGTTTTCTTCTAAGTGTCTTATAGTTTTAACTGTTACAATCTAGGTCTATGATACATTTTGGGTCAATTTTTGTGTTTTGGTGTAAGAAAGGGGTCCAACTTCAGTGATTTGTATGTGGATATCCAGTGTGTTCCACCATCATTTGTTTATTCTGTATTATATATTTTCCTGTTACATAAATGCTGTCACTTAAAACAACTATAGGACTAGTTAACAGTGGTAATTAGCAGCAATTAGGAGGAGGAGTAACTAATGATATGTATAAGAAAATACAGCAATATTTTTATAACATTTCTTTCCTCTGGTATAATCATTTATTGAACTCTTTATGGGATATTTAAATTTTGGAGGCTATATTATTGTGTACTATGAAGATATTTAAATATAAGATTTTTAAAAAGGAGCATGTAGATACAATAGGACTGATTAAACAGATATTACCTAATGTATATTTAATAATAATAAAAATAACAGCGATATGTTTCTGTCCCATGGAACAGGAGGATAATTTTACTCCGCTTCACTTTCCAGTGGAGCCCTGGTGCTGCAATGGTTAAGAGCTATGGCTGCTAACCAAAAGGTTGGCAGTTCAAATCCACCAGCTAGCTGCTCCCTGGAAACCCTATAAGGCAGTTCTACTCTGTCCTATAGGGTTGCTATGAGTTGGCAACGACTAGACGACAATGGGTTTTTGGTGGGTTTTCACTCTCCAGTAATACTTATCGGAGTTGCCTGCAGTCTTCAAGACATCCTTCTTTTCTTCGATGAAGTGGTAAACTGAATATAATCAAATGCAAAATTCACTTTGACTTGCAGCTTGGCACTTCTCAAGCCCATCATGCACTGATTCAATGTGATGACATCAAGCAAAATATGTTGTTGTTGTGTGCAGCCGAGTTGATTCTGACTCATAGTGACCCTACAGGACAGAGTAGAACTGCCCCAAAGGGCTTCCTAAACTGAAATCTTTACAGCAGATTGCCAAGTCTTTTCTTCCACAGAGCCACTAGTGAGTTCAAATTGCTGACCTGTCAGTGAGCAGCCAAGTGCTTAACCATTGTGCAACCAGGGCTCCTAAAGCTAAATATATTCTCCACAAAAGTGTTTGTGCATGGAATACTCAGGACGTTACTTACTAGCACAGGTTTTTAACTTGTACGAGTCAGTTTCCAGCTCTCCAAACATGTCTGTCCACTTTGTATCTACGGGCTTGTTTTGGTAGACCAGCTGTCTGTCAATCACATCCTTTGCATCTATCACTTCATCAAATGGGCTATCCCTGTCTAAGATGGCCATCATTTTTAAACACTCCGAAGCACAGAGGTAATCTGAACTTGTGAAACTGAAGTTGGATTCCAAGTAAGTTACAGTTTTAATAAAGAAATAGAGTCTTGTTTAATTTGGCGGCCCTTGTCTGGTAACATTTTTTTGAGTTTTGAAGCACTGTCATTTCCTAAAAATGAGTCATTTTTTTCACTCTCTGAGATTCTGTTGTAGCCCACACATAACAGTGAACAACTCAGGTATGGCTGCTTCATCGTTTTCTAGGCTCCTCAGAGCCTCTTCAAAGATCATCAAGCAGTTCTGGAGACACAGCATATAAATTTCCTTTCTCCATTCTCATCCTCGATGTATTTCCAAATTAGAGGACATTCTTCTTGTTGCACACTTTAAAAATATGGTTTTTCATAGCAGATCAACATTTTAACAGTTTTTCTATGGCTGGCAACTATAAAAGCCATCTTGTGGGCACGTATCTGAGGAGGCTCTTGCTTCCATTCCTATAAAGTCAAAACCCTCACTCAGTGCTTTGACACATTTTGAGGAAATGGAAAAATGACAAAACTTTATGAGAGCCTCGATATCATAGGTAAGCAAATCACACTCCTTTTTAACAGTGTTGTGTACAAGGCATGCAAGATATTTAGCCCTTAAGATCTTTTCATTTACTTGGGTAAGAAGTTTACAGACTAAATGAAATTTGCCAAAATTTACCTGTGTACTGTCTGCTGAATATGCAGATAAATGAACAAAGTCTAGTTTGTATTTGGACAAGACAACAACAACCTTCTGTGTTGTGCTTTCTGTGGTTTCATTAAAATCTTCAAGAAGACAATGTGAAGCTCCATTTTTCAAATCACAGTACCTAAGAGCTAGAGGGAATTTTTTTTGTTGCCGTGATTCAATGTGCCCCTTGATATACTGTATGAAGCATGGTCATCGGTAAGGTCTAACAGAATCAGCTGTACACTGTAAGGGACCATGTATTGGTTTCCTAGTGCTGCTACAACAACAACAACAAAAAAAACCCCACAAAGTAGATAGCTTTAAAGAACAGAAATTTATTGTCTCACAGTTCTGGAGGCTGAGAGTCCAAATCAGGGTATCAGCCATGTTGATTCCTTCTGAGAACAAATGTTCCATGCCTCCTTCCTAGCTTCTGGTGGCTCCTGGCAATCCTTGGCTTGTAGCTGCAGCATCAAGCAGTGCCCTTCCTCTGTCTCTTCTCTTCTTCTATAAGGACATCTGTCATATAAGATTAGAACCTACCCTACTCCATTCCAGTATGAACTCATGTTAACTGATAACATCTTCAAAGACACTACCTTCCAAACAAGGTCACGTTTGTAAGGACAGGGGTTAGGATAGCAACCATATCTTTTGGGGGGACATAATTCAATCCATAACAGACCAACACATCTGTTACCCCAATTTCCCCTTATGTTCATTCCCAGGACATTTTAGTTGCCACCTCTGAATCAGGAAATGCCACTTTCTCAGTTCACAGATCAAAGAATGACATGATGACACATGTCATTCATGTGCCCCAACTCATTCAGCAGCTGCTGGTTCTGACTGGTCACTGGTGTCTCTTTGGATGACAAAGCTACTTTCGATTGATTTGGAAGAACTTGACCATCTGAGCCCAGATTTGGTGGGATTCAGCCCCTTCTCCATCAGGCCCCACCCCACGTCCTTTCCCACACTGTGGAGTATGCTCTGTGTGGCCATTTACCCCCTAGCCCAGCTGCATGTGTCCTTCCATCTGTCATTAAAATAACATAGTCGTTGAGCCTTCGTTTTCAGCAATGTCTGGGTCACACTGGTGTTGCAATCCTTCTCATTTTCATCACTGGAACTCTCTTTAGGAAATGTAGTCACAGTATTCACAATGTTAAACATTCAACCAGCACTATCTTGACACAAAGCACAACAGCTGGCCTGCAGACGGAGTCAAAGGTGGGCCATGAATGCTCATGATTACAACGCACTCAAGTCGCATCCCTCGGAAGGAGGCAACACAGATGGTCCCCCCTTGTCACCTGCAAGTCACGGCTGCCGACATCAGTGGTCAGGGGGATACAGCGACGGCCATGTTGGAGGTGAGTCACCTACACCACATCTGTCTGACACTAAAAACAGTTATGTTCAAACCCTGTTTTTTGGGCCCTTGTGTGGGTCTGTACTTTCCCCTCAACCTTGCACATCTATTGCCAACTTTTTGTTTCCTGAGACCCAGAGCTTTCAGTGGTAACACCGGGATGGTTGGTTGCCCTAGTGAGGAGGAAGCGCTGAGGTGGTGGGTGGGAGGTGGTACAGGAGGGGACTGAGAGAGGGTGTGGTGGGGCAGAACGCAGTGGTGTGGCACGCTATTCCCACACTTCCTTGTCTTAGAGTCCTACCAGGCAGACCAAAGACCTTACCTCAGAGGGGTGCAGTGTCCAGCATGGGTAGCCATGACCAGGGTTTAGCACATAGGGTGACTCATGTGTCACCTTAGGAAATGAACCAACAAAACCAAATAGATTGCCCCAAAAGGCTACATTCCCCTCACCAGGCCAAAGACAACTCTGGGGCCCCATGCCCAGCCTCTCATCCTGCAGTTCACAGACAATGCTGACTGGGTTACATGGCAGCCTCTTTCTAGACCCTGAGCTCCCCAAGAGCAAGGCTAGTCTGATTCACCTCCCTGTCTGGCACGGAGGAGGGAGAATGTTTAGGGGAATAAATTGGTGTGGAAAGGTTGTCTGTAGCGGTGAATCACACCCAGCTCTGAACTCAGGAGCACCCAGCTAGGGGAGAGGGAGGCAACTGCCTAAAAAAGCCTCCAACAAAGGGCTCAAGTAACACAGGAGGGGGGTGCCACTGGCCCTTATGGAGGAGACAAGCAGAAATCAGAAAAGTTGAAATTTGAGCTGGAACATCATTCAAGGTTAGAATTTTGAGAGGCAAAGAAGTGGGAAGTGGGCTTCTAGAATAGCCCAAGGAGAGGCAGAGGGCAGAGGTGCAAGAGTTAAGGGCTCACAGTCGTGGTGCAGGGCAGGCCACAAGGCCAACAAGCTCCCAAATGAGCCAAGTGCTTCTCGTTGTGGTCTCCATCCTCAGCTCCCACAGCCAAGGACACAGACCTGAGGGGGAAAGGAGCTTGCCTAGGGTGGGACAGCGAGTCAGTGGAGCAGGGGCCAGACCCAGACTCTCCCCCTACCCAAGGTTCTCCCTCGCCAGCAGCCTGAGCAGAGCGGTGCCGGTGCCCTTGCTCTGACCAGTGGGGTGGGACTCACTCCACCCCCTCCTCCCCCACCTGTGCCAGCTATGAAATGGGAACTGAGTTGCCCAAGAGTTAATCACTTTTCTGATGGATTATTTTATTCATCTTTGGTAACAAATGGCTGAAATCAATTAAACGTGCTTTCCCCTCAGCTGATGAAGTTAATTATGATTTGTTATGGTATCTGATACGTAAATTATTAGAAAGCAGACTTACATTGGACCGGCTGCCTCCAGGCGGCACTGGATTAATCATTGTGTAGATGTTGTCACTGGAATTTGTTGAATCTGTAGAACAGTAGAAACCCGCAAGTCGGGGTGATTAATTCATTTCTTAATTAAAACAAACTCATGGCACTTGAACTCATTCTTTTGTATTTTATCACCTAAAATTTCCTCTAAGTACCAGCATTTTCTGGCTAATTTGTATTTAATGAAGATTCACGAAGTTTTTAATCGCAGAAAATTCAACTTTGAAAACCACTCAACGGCGGAAAGGAAGAATTTCAGGGTATCTGGACAGAGGTGTGGACATGGCAAAGGGGGACTGCAGGTTCAGAGTTCTTGTCTCCCACCCCAGACCATGCCTGGGTTCCAGACACTGAGATGATGCTGGGGTGGCCAGCCCTCCACCTCTGAATTACCCCCACCTCCAGTGTTTTAATCAAGTTGGGGGAACAGGAATGCCACAAATTACCCGGGGGCCACCCTGCCAAGCTGCTGGGGTGGGAGGGAGAGGCAGGGATGGGGCTGAGGCGCATTAACATATGGAGAGGCTGCATGTGACCCAGTCTGAATGTAGGTCATGCAGCTCATAAAAATGCAGCAGCAGAAAGAGGGAGTGGACAAGTGCTGCCGCCGCCAGCTCCACCCCTGCAGCTGAGCAGCCTCCCTGGTATGGGGAGTCGAGGAGGGGGTGGGCAAAAGGGTCCCCACCATCTCCCCAATTAGCAAGAAAAGTCTCTTTAAGAAATCAGCTGATATGTTTCTGTCAGAAGCAGGCTCCACATTTCTCAGGCGGAAACCCACCAGCCTCTCACTTTTAATTTTGGGGGTGGGTGAGGATTGTATGTTTATTTCCTTCTAGCTGGCTGGTCTGCTATTCTTAGCTGGGAGAGAAACATAATTGTGAGCCCGCGTGTGTGCGTGTGTGCACATGCCCACGTGTGCGCACGCATGCCCTCTTATGATTAAAGAGAAGGGGAAGGAAGGGATCTCCCACACAGGACCAGGAGCCAAGAGCTATGAAAACTCAAGATGCAGCATGCCTTAGCATCCTGCTCCCAAGATGCCGGAATGCAAAAGTTCCTTTTCGGGGCATCTAGAAAAATGCCCACACAGGACAGGGTTATCTCCGACAAGTGGGAGAGAGGACAGTGAGACCCCTTGTTCCCAGACCTCCCTGCTAAGCACTGTCCTTTAACAGAGCAGCACTTGAGAACCAGAGATGAAGGGTGACCAGGCTGAGGCCACACAGTGGACTGGTGGCACCAGGGAGCCTTCTGCTCCTAAGTCCCTGAATGCCAAAATGCCAGGTGGGGGATGTGTCACTCAGGAAGGAGCTGTGGCTCTGGGCCCCAGGCTCCTCCAGAACTCCCCAAATACTCCTACCCCTACCACAACCCCAAGTTCTCTTACCTGCAGGACTAGGCATGATAGGTGTTCCTGGGGGGCCACCACCACCAGGGGGCCCCTGAAAAGAAGATTAAAAACTATCATCAGAAACCCATGGTGACAATGCTCATGGAGAGAGGTCACCCAGCTCCCACCACACCAACAGCAACTGCTCACGTGGGCCGGGCCAAGCCATCAACTCTGGCTCAAGCTCCAGTGCTCACTCAGGCAGAGCACAGGTCTTTAAGGGAAACTGGACTCAGACTCTCCAGACCAAGGAGCACCTGCGGGTGTGCGTGTACACCTGTGTGCTCACGTGCATGTCGCCTGGTAGCAGCCAGAGGCCTGCAGTGGAAGCCGATCGTCCTACCAATCAGCTCTCCAGATAGGGATCCCAACTTCTGGGTCTCATCTGGGGATTTCTGGGCCAGCCCAGGCCTATGCCAGATGCCTGAATATGGACAGCAAGTTCTACCACAGTTTAGAACCTGTGCTCAGAATGTGTTTTGAAAAGGAAAGAGCCAGGGACCAATGAGTGGTCCTTACACACTCAGTCACATGTGCCTGGACATGCAATGCCCCAAACCCACATACTCACCACATAGGTACCGGGGGAGGACGATGAGTATGGAATCTAGAAATGAGATACAGGGGAGCCCCCAGTCAGAAAGTCCTCCGATAGGCTGCACCTCTTAGCTTCCAAACCCACTTGGGGACACAACCCCATTCTTCACAGGAGAGGCTGTGGGACCCCTTGAGCTTCCTGGTCAGTTTCCCTGGGAGGGTCATGGGGTGTGAGTGAAACCCATCCCTCCTACACTGAACTGATCCTGAGAGCCTGGTCTCCTGCTGCCCACAGCCTTGGCAGGGAGCCACAGGGGTGAGGAGCCTGGGACATGGGAGGCCCTCTAGGTCGGGAGGGAAGGAAAGAGCATGCTTCTCCCACCCCTCAGGCCATCTCCCCTGGACTGTCTATGCTGAGCCCTGGCCGCCCCTTCCTCTGAGTGCTGGCGGCCAGCCCTGCCGGAAGGAGGAGACTGCAGAAGCCTCTACTTTGCAAGGTGCTGTCTGAGCCCAGGCTCTCAGCTTAGACATGGTTTCTGCAGAGGAGTGGGCCTGGCAGCACAGCATGCTCCTCCTCAAGCCTCCACCACCACACAGGCTTCTCCTTGGAGGCATCAGGTACCACTGGAGGCGTTCCAGGACTCCCAGGAGTCCTGGTGCATCACCCACGCACAGTGACACCTGCAGCCCAAGGACAGGAACCACCCTACACCAAGAACCCCTTCCCTGGCAAACACCACCCAGACAACTTGGGTACTCACTGAGTTAGCACTGTTAGGATTGGGCCAGGGTCTGCCAGCTCCCGGGCCCCTGAGAGAGAGAGAGAGAGGGAAACAATGAGAGGGGCTGTATACTCTACAGGGTTGGTGCCAGCGGGGGGAGAAATCATTAAAGGGAGTCCCTCATACAGCCCTAGGGTCAAAAAGACTCTGGGCTCGCACTGTGGGTCCATGGACAGCAGTCCACAAACTCCTTTCAATTGTATGCAAAATCTGTTAAACTTTTAACATTTCCTCTGCACGTGCATTTTTTCTAGGAAGGGAGTCCACAGATTCTCAAAGAGGTCTGTCCCAGAAGAGGGGTTAACAACCACTAATGCACTAGAGAATAGTGGTTAATTACATGGGCTCTGAAGTAAAAAACTCCCAGGGTTCAAATGTTGACTGTCACTTAAAGCTGTGTGACCTCGGGCAAGTTACTTGACCTCTCTGTGCCTAGTTACCTCATCTGGAAATAGGGGAAAATAATAACTGCCTCATGGGGTTATTATGAAGATTAGGTGAGCTAATCCTCAAAGCATGCTTCGAACGCAGAAGCACTATATATGAGGGTAAGTTCTCATTGCCAGAATCAACATCCTCATTCTACTGATGAGGAGACTGAGGTCCAGAGAGGTGCCAGTAATTACTGATAACGAGTCTTCTAGGGGGTGCCACGGTGGGAAAAGCCATGGGCTCTGAGCCGCTGGCCAAGTAGTTTTCGCCTTACATGTTAATCCCGGGCATGGCGGGGCCAAGGGAGTTGGGTGGTGGTCTCATGCCGCTGCCGTAATTCTGCAACGATAACCAAGGGTCAGTCTATGAGAAGGAGAAGGGGAACCAGAGAGAGAAGGAGGGAGGAAAAACAGACAGAATATAAGTGAGAGAGTTAGTCTGTGAAAAGGATCTGATGAGAAAAAAATAATACATTCTTTAAAAAAAGGTTGGGGGAGGGTGGGAACTGAGTGATGGGGACCACAATGACAAGCCAGCACAGAGGAATAATCACAGCTTTAAATGTATTTTCAGGGGCTTCAAGATGATTTTCTCAAAAACATATGGATGTCAAGCAAGCCGCTCACATGTCTGGGCTCCCACGACGCTATTCCCACAGGTGTCAGGGCAGGTAAAAGGAAACTGCCTCGGTAATGGAACCGGTAATGGAACCCAACTGGTGAACATGAGTGCCTTAGAAACTCCAAGAGAGAAGAAACTGTCTGGAAAGCTGTGGCGGGGGAGTGAGGAGCAGGGGGAGATGTGGGAGAAATGCTCCTCAGAGGCCTGTCCCCAGCCTAGGCCTGCTATATAGGGACACCCACCCTGCCTGAAGCCTGGGTCATCCCTTTCCCCTCCTACCTTGGTCAAGCCACCTGGACCAGGTGTCAGCACGTGGGGCCCTCAACAGGCACGGTACTACGGGAGTAGGAGGGAAGCTCCCTTTCTACGCTCATGGGGTCACTATTCCATCTGAGAAGCGTCTACACAGAACTCAGAAATTCCTGAGAGTCGGACTCGGCTTGCTGAGATTAGCACAGTCCACGAGGCAGTGTGGGGTGGGTCACAGAGAGCACTGACCAGGCACTCCAGGAATTTCACTTGGTTCATCTAGCACAACCAAGCCTATGCTGCCCCACCTTCCCTCTCCACATGCTATTCTGTTGCAGGAATAAATACTCCCAGAATGCTTTGTAATCCCCTCTGCCGGCGCTCATCATACTTGGTTGTGATCATGGCCACACATCCTTCTCTCCCACTGCAGTCTATTTTTTTTTTTTTAATTTTGTTGAGGTAAAATATATACAACAAAATTTTTCATTTTAACTGTTTTTACGTGTATAATTCAATGACATTAATTATATTCACAATGTTATACAACTAACACTGTTATCTAATTCCAAAGCTTTCTCATCACCCAAACAGAAACTGTTATTGAGCAAAAACTCTCCACTCCCACCTCCCCCCAGCCCCCATAAACTCTAATCTGCTTTCTATGAGTTTGCCTATTCTAGATACTTCATGCAAGTCGAATCACACATTTGTCCTTTTGTGTCTGGGTTCTTTCACTTAGCATAATGTCTACAAGGTTCATCCATGTGGTAGCATGTATCAGAACTTCATTTCTCTTCATGGATGAATAATATTCTACTGTATGGATATACCACACTTTGTTTATCCATTCACCTGCTGATGGACACTTGGGTTGTTTCTACCTTTTGGCTACAGTGAATAATGCTGTCATGAACACTGGTGTACAAGTATCTGAGTGTCATTTGAAGGTGGGGACTTGTCTTAATGATCTTTTTATCCCCCTCACTCCATGCATCAGACTGGGTATCCAGTAAGTCTAAACTGAATTGATCAATGAAAGAGTGAATAAGTGAATGAATGGAAAATAAAATGAACTTGGCTGCAGCTCAAGCTCTGCCCTTGTAGGAGAATTCAAAGGAGGTGGATTGGTGGAATTCTGATGATAGAGGAACGGTCAGCATCAGCTGCCCTTTACTGATTGAGCACACAGTACACTTTACATATGGTCTCTGGTTTGGTCTTATAGCAACTCCTAAAGCTGGCATTGCTTCCATTTTACAGAAGAGGAGACTAAGGGTCTGGGGGGAGAAAAGATTTGCCCAAAGTAACACAGATGGTAAATGGCAGGGCTGAGGTTTAGACCTGGATCTGTGAGACTCCAGGGTCTGCACTCTGAGCCACAGGCCTGGTGAGAGGTGGGTGGGAAGGTGAACGGGAATCGGAGGCTTGAGAGCTGAACTGACAGACTCAGAGTCACATGAGGCTGATGACGGCTTCTTTAGCCAGGGACCATTGGCCAGTGCTCTCTGCTTCAGCGCCTCCTTCTCTGCTTGCTCACCTATCGGGACCTGGAGTTGGAAAAATATCCACACGGGATGCAAACAATGACATGAGCAACACAAGGCTGGCTGTCAAAGGGGGAGGCCTGGAGTCAGGAGGGGAGGGGGCCGGCAGGCTGTTGGGGAACCTGCTGCTCCCCAACCCTCAGGCAGTCAGCACTCATCAAGGCCCGCATTGCCCTGTCTGCTCAGGGTCGAGCCTAGGGGTCCGGCCCAGCAAGAAGATGTGTGCCCATCTTCCAGCAAACAGGGCCACTGGGGCAAGTGCAGAGGCCATGCCCACTTTACAGACAATGCCACGGGGTGGTGAGAAGAGCCCAAGATTTGAGGCCAAAACCTGGGAGGGCCTCCTGGCTTGGTCACTTGCTGGTGACTTTCGACAAATGGCATTAACAGCAACAATGCTTTTTCCGTACCAGGCTGTGCTACTGGCTTTATGTGCATCACCTCATTTAATCGTCATGACGATCCCGTCACTATCCCCACTTGCACTGAAGATAAAGAAACTGCGGTGCAGAAGTAGTGGGACAGCTCAAGTCACACAGCTGTGAGCAGCCGAGCTGGGGCTGAGCCTCGCAGCCTGGCTCTGCTTCAGAGCCACAAGCACTCTGCCATACAGCCTCATCTGTGACATGGGGACTTTACAGGGACTGTGAGGATCCAATGAAATGATGGCTAGGAAAGTGCTCTGTAAGCCCTGAGGGGTGTGTGCTGACTTGGCATGTCAGTAGGAGAACAAACCTGAGAGCCCTAAATGCTGCCTTAAGGATCACAGAATCTCAAGTCTTCAAAGGCCTTGCAAGTCCCACGTGCAGCTATTAAACCCCTCTCAGTCTCAGCCTCCCGCCCCCTCCTCCAGAACAGGAAGCTCCTGGGCCATAAGGAATGTCTTCCAGATACCGAGTGAGATCCTGCTGCCGCCCCCACCCGGGGAGAGGACTACCTGAGGGGCGAGAGCGGAGACGGGCAGAAGCCAAGGATGCCACGGCACAGAGGGCGGGGTGAGGACAGGACAACAGGGTGCTCACTCCTGAAAGGCACCCGAGCATGTGTGTACCTCCCCAGGGGTGGCTCCAGGTGAGCCACCCTGCTTCCTGACCCCGCCCAGCCTTCAGGAGACTCCCCATCAAGCCTCCACCCAGACAGAAACGCGGACCCTCCTCTACATTTCACGGTTGACAACTGGGGGCTAGAGACTCGCCAAGGCCACACAGAAATTGGGCAGATGTAGGGCCGAAACTAGGTTTTGGGGGGCAAAAGTTTTCAAATCAGAAACACCAGCCAGGCCAAAGGACTTGGAAACATGCTTTCAGAGACTCAGCAGAAATGGGTTCTCTCTTCTCTCCTCAGTCTTAACTTCGCAGTGAAATGGCCCCAGCTCCTCCTGCCTACTCTACTGTGTCCTTGGAGGTAATGCTGGAGAAGATCTGCCAGGGGAGATCACTAACCAGATGCTCCCCCTCCCCTGCACTGGCCCTGGGGGGACAGGAACGGCCAGAGACAGCAGAGTCCTCAGCACAGCCATAGGGTCAGTCACATTCACGGGGGTCTGTCTTGGGTACCCCAGACCCTGAGCAGAGGCCTCGGATCCACAGTCAGGATCAACAAAGGACTCCCTCCCTGGGGGACCCTGAGTTAGCCCCCACCTTGGTCTCAGTTCCTCTCTGTGAGAAGCCAGGCCCTGCGAGGGTCCCAGGGACATGGGAAGGCAAGGAGCTGTCATCTGGGGCTGGGGGATATAGTGGAGGCTGCTGCTGCTACTTCCTGTGGCTCTCTGTGCCCCAAGGGCTCTGCCTTAAGCACTTTCTTCACCTTAAGAGGAGATGCGCGTAGGAGTTCAGGCAGTCTTCTGGGGCACCCCCCTCCACCCCTCTGTCCAATCATGTGGGAACCAGCCGGGGCCATCCCACACTGGGGGGCCTCCAAGGGCCACCTGGAAAGCTCCCCAAAGAGTCCCCACCGCCTCCTCACCAGGCCCCCAGGTTTTCTGGGTGGGATTCATGGTCCCATCTTTCTGTGGTCTCTGCTCAGAGGCACTAGGCCAGGGCTGGTCCTGGGTCAGCAGGGGACCCCAGGAGATGTGTTTTCTCCAGGGTGGCACAGGATCATCCCAGGGGATCACGGGCTATCCTTCATCTGAACCTTCTCAAATGCAGAAAAGCCATGGTGGCGATCCAATTCTCTGATTCTGTGCTGATTCCAGCCCCTCCCAAACACCAGCACCTCTGTGAGCCCAGCACCTCTGCTGCCTCGGCCTCGCCTTCTCTCCACGTGAGCTGGCCAGGACCCCTGCAATTTCAGCCACATTCTAACAGCACTCACTTTTGAAAACTTGGCAAAAGGTTACTGCCTGATACTAGCATACATACAATTTTTTAAAAGTGAGAACACAATTAAGTGAAAATATCGCCTCCTTTTTGGCCACTGGCTGTTTCACAAAACCCGAGTGAAAGCTGTCTGAGGCTCGAGGGCAAAGGGCAGGGGGGCGCCTGGCCTGCTGGTTCCTTTGTGATGTTTCCGCTGAAATGTGACACGGGCTTTCAGGCTCAAAAAAATGCACTGTCATTCTGTCCTGTTTTGAAATCTATAAAGGGGCCCGAAGACCACAACTGTACCCTTCTTTGTTCAGCAAGTTTTGAAGTGGTCAGTGGCTGAAAACAATCTAATCCCCACTGGGAATAACATGCCAGAAGGTTCTCCCCCGTTGTCTGGCCTCAACCTGGCATTGCACATACAGTGGTGCTTACTAAAGGCTGCATGCAGGGCTGGCAGCCTCTCCCACAGCCAGGGGGGCTCACAAGGCAGGCCACCTCCCCAGAGCCCCAGGGCCCCCGGGAAGGGAATGGGATGCAGGATCCATGGACACCTTGTTTGTGCTGTCCTAAGGTTTAAGTCTCACAGCTCACTTCCCCCAGCCCCTCAATGAGCCCTGGGAGGTCATCCACGGGCTGCCCACTTTGCAGATGAGAGACTGGAGGTCCAACTGGGCTGAGCTGGCACCAGAACCATACTCTGCAGCACCAACTTCAGAGCTTCTCCCTCTCCTGTACACTGGGAGGGCTGGGAGGGCCCTCAGGGGACAGAGATAGAGGCCTGGGGACAGCTGAGCTCCAGCCCTCTCCCACCCTCAGCCTTGGTCTACAGTCTGGAGTCCAAAACTTCCGGGCCCTGCTATGCCCAAAACCACCTGATGTTCACTCCCTGGCTGATCCCAGACCCTGCAACCCATCCAACACACACCACTTCACCCAGGTCCAGTCCTACTAATGCCAGGCCCTTCTGCACCCTACCCAGAGAAGGCACACAGAAAACACGGGCAAGGCACTTTAGGGTCGCCAAACTTTAAAATTACGTAAAATAGAACACGACAAACAAACAGGAGGTGTTTGGAAGGAACATCAGAGCCTGCACTGTGCACTGGAAGCCACTGTCTCTTCGGGGTACAACTGCCATATGGGAGCAGGGAGGAGAAGGGGGCCCTGTGTTGGGGATACAGAGCAGGGCAGACGTTTGAAGAGCCCATAAGGGCAGTGGGAGGGTCAGCTGGACTCACCTCCGTGCTAGCATCTCCTGCTCCTTCTGGGACACTTCGCGGCTTGAGGGAAACTCCACCCCCGCAAACTGCTCCACGAGGCCCTTTAAGCAAAACCTCAGTCTCTGGGACCTTCACCTCTTTAAAGTGTGCCGGACTGCTGATCAGGAACACTGACATGATGAGACGCCCACTAAGCCAGGAAGAAGTCCTAAACTTCCGGAACATTCTGCCCTCGGCCAGTGAGATAACATCCATTTCTAGCTTCTAGAACTTTCAATATTATTACAGGCTAAACAAAATATTAACGGCCTTTGCCAGGAAAAAAACAAAGGAAAGAAACTAAAAGTAATCTCCAAACCCAAGCCGCTAGAGTCTTGAACGTTGGTTTTAGGTCACCAAGTCAGAAAACAAACTGCTTACTAAGGGGCTATTCTGTGCCAAGTATCATGCCAAGAACTTGATTCTCCTCCTTTCAGCAACCCTACAAGGTAGATTCTGTTCAATCCCATTTTACAGATGCAACTGCTGAGCCTCTGAGAATTGAGAAGGGTGGGGTGGTGGAGTAGGAACTAAGTGTTCCTGCCTCAGAACCCACCCTCCTGTACCACTCAGCTCCCCCATGATGTTCTGAAATCCAAAGCCACTGACAATTTCTACACCAAGGAGCGTCAGTCTACCACGTGGCTGAAGCTAAGGGGATCCAAGAACTACTTGTGACTCAGATCCTGCCCCTCCTGATGGGTTCCTCAGTTGGGAAGCCCTGCAGAGGTCAGCTCAAGATGGCCGCACGGCAGGAAGGGGCCACTCTAATAGCTTAAAAGAAGCTGGTGAAAACAACAGAGTTCGGGGGATTTGAGGAAAGAGAAAAACAAGAAAACCAGAGCTGCAATTGGTGTGAGCTTGCTTCCTCTTAGGATTATGGGGCCAACAGAAGACAAGGACCTCCCTAAAATCTTTCAACACCACAGATGTTCAAACCACCACTGTGTAGAAAGCAGAGGGTTGGGTTTGCTGTAAATAAAACTCTGGAATGAAGTGAAGGATTGTGGGTCTGTGGGGCAGACACCCTCTCCAAGCAAAAGGGAGGCACGTGTGTGGAGAGGGGGCTGGGGGGGCACTACTCCACCTCCAGGGGAAGCGGAAACCTGTGGAGGCGTCCCAGAAAATCCCCAACATCTACAAGCTGGGGTGGGAGAGACAAGCACAGACTTCTAGGCAGGGCAGATAAGAAGGGAAGGGGCGCCATAAAACAAGACTTTCACACCCTCACTATGCAGAGTCTCCCTCCTTATTTAGAGTTTAGCTTCTTTCAGCTAGTCAGATTCCAGAGAATTCCCAAGGAGGACCGAATGCAGCAAGCTCTCTGCCATGACTACTGTGGTAAACAGAGCTACATTCAAATACTCAGAGAGTGGGAGCCAACTGTAAGAATGTTCTAGAGCAGGAATGGCCTCTCAGACCCTCGCCCAGAAGGTCCTTCCCTATGGGGCATACAGCTGGGTCACAAGGAGCAACTACTTTGTTGTAATCATAAAGAGGTACTATACAGGGCACTTGAAATAATTTCTTCCAGAGGTTTCTAAACTGTCCTTTTTGGCATGGAGCCTTTGGTCAAAAGAAATCTTAGCTTAGTATATGAAACTGGCAAAAGCTCTTGGCTGAGGTGGGTGTTAGGGGACCTGCCTTTCAAATTCCTCACATCACACACCACAGCCCCCTTCCAGGGTCTGCCAATTAGAAGATCCCCCCGATGTCCCCCTTCCCCAGGCTCCCTGGGGGCCCCTCAACTCTGAGGGGATGTTCCTGGCTGGGTGTGGGGCCAGCTCAGCCATGGGTAGAAGGGGAACTGGGGGCATGGACACACCCTCTCCTTTCACCCCTGAGAGCTCAGATGCAGTGGACAGACTGTGAAAAGAGGAGAGAAGGCGGGTGCACACAGATGGACAGTCAGGCAAATGGACAGACAGGCAGTTACCTGTGGGCCAGGACCCATGGGCCCCATTCCTCGGGGAGGGTTCATTCTCTGCATTGATCCTCCCATGTTTGGGTGCCCTGCATGAGAGAGAGGTGAGTCACAGGGGGCAGGAAGCAGAGGCAGACAGTGGACGGAGAGGGAGCCCCTGCCCGACTCCCCAGGCCATCCCGTGCCAGCCCCACCCTCTGTACCTTGTTGTCGTGTGGGATCCATGGAATTGGGCAGCAATGGCTGTGTCCCAGGAACTCCTCCTGGAGGCTGAAAGAGACATGAGACAAACTGAGCTGCTGCTTCCTGGAGCTGGGGGACAGAGGGAGCCACAGCCTGGCAGGTAAAAGGTAGCACCTGCTTGCCACAGTCCACCATCTGACCATTTAGGGTCACTCGTGGTCTTTCTGAGACCATCCTGCTGCTTTCTGGCCAGGGGAGAGTACCCCAGGGAATGACAGTCAGCTTGGGGTGGCGTTAGCTAAAACTGCAGCAGGGGTGGGTCAGTGCTTTGTGGGATAGGAACCACTGCCCTGGCCTGCCTGTCTTGGTGGGGCTGTGCGCAGCCCCCTGAAATGAGGCAGGAAAGCCCTTCCTCTTCTCCATCCCAGCTCTAGTCACTGCAGTTTAAGTCAGACTCGTCTCTCCTTTGCCTCATGGAGGTGCAACTCATCTGATCCCGAACTCCAACTCATGGGGACCAAGACCCACTAGCTAAAACTCTATCACCACGGGAGACCTTTTTTAAAGAGGAACATGGGATAAGGAGGCATTTGAGATTCAGATGGGGAATCTCAGTGGCAGAAAGAGTAGGCCAAGGGCCCTCCATCACTTAGCAGAGCCAGGATAAGCACTCAGTTCTGGGGGCTTCCTGTCTTCTTCCAACACAGGGGCAAGGAGCAAGACTCTAGGTGAGTAGGTCGGTGAACGAGACCTGCTCTCCAAAACATGATGCCAATGGCAGACACTGGTGTGATTACTATTAAGCAGGTGAGGACAGGATGCCACCGGTTTCCAGAGTGCATGCTTGGCAAACTCACTGTGAAAACCCATTAGAAGTAATTTACTTGGAACTGGAGTTATTTCAGCTGCAATTTGAAAAAAAAGAGAGGAAAGCAGAAGCTGGGGGAAAAGTTTGCTTCTAGGAGCTCATCCCTCAGGACTACACACAAGCCCTTGCCTTTGAGAGGAACAGCCTTTGGAGAGAGCTGGTTCTCTCTTCCCATCTGCAGATGCCAGTGCTTCTTAAAGGCCGAGCACATGTGCCCCCTGCGCGCGGACTGTGCTGCTCTGGAGAAGGCCCAGTGGGAGCTTGGTCTGCCTGTGGCTCAACGATGAACTCCACACAGGTTTCGGAAGGAGGTGGTGGGAAGGGAAAGGACGAGGTGTGTCAGAATGGAATAGGAGGGGGCTAAGCTGGGGGAGGCGTGCGTGAGGGCCTGGGGAGGACGTGAAGTCCACAAAGTGGCATTTGGCACCTGCTGTGTCCACCTGCCTGGGGAGGCTTGAATGTGTCTCTCCAGTCCCTGGACCTGCTCTGACCTCTCTCCCTCTCCCAGTCCTGCTTCCTCGCCCCGAGTTCCCAAGCTCTGACTCACCTGACTGGCGTGTTTGTTCACTTGGGGACTTGGGGTTTTCAGGACTCTGAGAGGACATAGGGAGGCCTGCCTCTGAGGCTGTCTGGTTTAGGGGATCCCAGGATGTTAGGCGGGTGGATAGGGAATCTTCTGGGTCATAGGCTACAACCTTCTGCCCAGTATAGTAACCAGTACCTCCATCCAACCCTCATGGACCAGTGTGGGGGTTGGGCAATCACTCCCTCTCCAAGGAGCCCGATGTTGACCACTGGTTCCTGCTGAAAGCTCCTCCTTAGATTCCCCTAACCCTGCTGTGTCGGACTCCAGGGGTGAGGCTGGGCCGTTACCTCCCTTCTTCCCCCACTGGGGTGATCCTGACATAGAGAAAGACCCAGGTGAAAGGGTCTCCCACTGAGAAGACTGAAGCCCTCAGAAGTAAGAAAGGGACATGTGTGGGACTGCTAATAACCCCCCTCCTCTTCTAAACCCAGCTGAACCCCGCTGTTCATCACCCCTCCAACCACTCTCACTTGAAAACCAGCAATGCTCTAAACACAACCCCAAACCTCTGGCCCAGGGAGGCAGGAGGGAGGCTGGCTCCATGAGACTTGTGGCTTCTCGTTCCCATTACCCTATAGGAGACAAACTTATAAAGGGCCATGTGAGCATGAGCAAGTCTCTTCCTCTGCTTCCAGCACAAGTCACAGGAGTGAGCTGAGCCAATGCAGGTGGCACAGAGGCCTCTGCTCAACTGACAGCTCCAGCTGATGCCCCCTCCAAGGAGACCCCAGGTGTGATACCTGCTCAAGGAGCACATCCCTCTTTGGAGAACAAACATTTCCTGAGTTCACAGGAAACTGATTTTCCGATGGGGAAGGCGGGAGGTTGAGAACATTAGTTTGTAATGCCTGGTGCAGATGACGGATTTATTCTCCCATTTGTTCTCTTGGACACCTGCTCATGCTTAAATGCTATATGGAAACATACATGCTCGGACTCCATGCCCCTTAATTGCCAGAGGAAGGGCCACAATGATGGTAAGGAAGTCTCTGGACTCCCCCTAGGGCTGAGGCCAGTTTGGGCCAAGGGCAGCCATGGGTGGGCAGGAGGGACACCACTGCAGGGGCCCTTGTATGCAACAGCAAAGGCCCACTTGGTGACCAGTTAAAAATAAAGGCAGGGGCAGCAACTTTACAACTAACTATTGCAGTTAACAGAACAGGGCAGAGTGGAGTGGAAACAGTCCTGGACTGGGAGCCAGGAACTTTGGGAACTCAGTCATCCACTAAGACCTTCCATTTCCTCATCTGTGATGTATCTAAAGGTCCCTTTCTGCTCAAAAGCTGGCTCTAATTCTTCTATCCAAATACGTCCCCATCATGTCAGAGAAAAGAGGAAACAAAGGACTTCAGGAGAAAAATTAAGTGGGAAACCTGATAGGCAAGACGTGGTTAATTTAACTTTAAAATCCAGAGACCTCCGGTTAAAATCAGAGGCATCTCTCCATAGTTCCTGTATCAGCTCATTCAATGGCTTTCCTGCAGAGCCTCAGGACCAGAAGGAATCACACCCAGATAATTCCAATCTAGTCGGCAACTAAGTTCCCAGCTCCAAGGGCATCTAGGGTTGGATGGGCTGGCGTTGCTGTCAGATTTTTTGAGGAGCTTTTGCAAAGTCACTGACAAAAATCATTAAAAAATATTTTGGCCCCCCTAAAAAGTTTTTTTTGGCACGAAAAGAAATTTCCCTGATGTTTCTTTACAGTTTCTTTTAAGCCAGTGTGTCCTCAAAGAGACATCTATGTATCTTTAGCTCTCCAGCCCCCCTACTGGCCCTGGATGGGCTGAACTAGGAGGGCGGCATGGGGGCCAATTTCTCCAGACCACCTAGAATTGCCAACCCTAATGGGCCAGCGTTAGGCACATGACCCAAGGCTGAAAAGCCCTCCCCGTAAGCAGACCACTTTTCTAATTACGTGAACAAATCCCTTCTTGTTTTGAGTTGGGTCTGGAAAGCAGGCAGACATTGCTGAAAAACTCACAAACGTCCTGCCCCGCTGCACCCAGGCTCCTAATCTAAGCATTCCTACGGGCCATTTCTCCCCCTAATAGCAGGATTATATTTACCAGCCTTGGCAATTCTCAAAAGCTTCCAGGAAAAAAAAGGCACATTGTCAATTAACTTCATTAAGGAAGAAGACCCTCTTCCAAGAAGGGGATGGAAGGGAGGGGCAGGGGCGTTACCACCTTCTCTAGAATAGCTGAAACCCTGCATTCCCACCCCCGCGGCTCCTGCTGCTGCCCTCTGAGGTCCAGCACCGGCTGCCAAAAGCCCACCAGAGGAGAGGCAGGTGAACGCTGGGAGAAGGGGCTCCTTCACCACCCTAATCCTTGCTCCCCCAACCCCCCAATCCTTTTCCCAAATTTTGATTCGAGTCAAAGTTCAACTTTGGACTTTGGGACCAAGGGTGGCAGAGTAAAGGGAGAGAGAACATGAAAAGGTACAGTACCTGGTTTCCCATTCTGATCGGGGGCCTGGGGCCGCCTGCATATCGCGGTGACATAAAAGGCTGCAATTACAGGGAATGAGTTCAATGACAGCCTGCACTATGGCACAGTGACAAACACAAATGCTCTCCACTCCACAAAGTCCAGTTTTGTTATGACTAGTGATCTTTTAGACTCTGTTTCTCCCGGTGGCCTCTTCCCTCCGGGCAAAGCTTCCTTTGGGCAGAGGGAAGAACACATCTACACAACGCGTGTGTCCCCGACTCCGAGAGTTCACAGAGAGCTACTTTGGGTGGAAGGGCAGCGGCTGGGACTCGGTGTAGGACGCTGAAGAACACCGGTAAATCAGTTCAGGGGAAAGAAGGAAACCTCTGTTCTTGGCGAGGGCAAATAAAAGATTAAGAAAAAGGATTTGTAAATAAAATTTCAAGGGTCTGCAGACAAAGCTGGACGCACGCGCACATACACACAAAATCCACTGACAAAGAGGGGGTGGGGGAGCAAGGGTCTAAGGGGGAAAAACACAACAGAAAAAGGTGTCATGGGCAGGGGGCTCCCTAACTGAATGCAGGGAAATGGGCAAGAAAGCTTTCTCAGCAGCAAGAGTGCACAAAGAAAAGGCTAGGGATGCAGCTTTGGTTACAAACGAATGGTTAACCAAACTCAAAAACCAAACCAAAAGTGAGAGAGGAAAAAACAAAAACGCAAAGGCCGCTGACAAGGTCACAGAAATATCATGTCTTTTCTTTTGGTATCATATCCAAGCTGGGTGTGATGGCCAAGGAATGAAGGCTATCTTTAAAAAAAAAAAAAAAGAAAAGTTGGTTGTTTCTTTCTTTTTTTTTTTTTTAAATTCAATTTATCAATAAAGACTCGAAGGCAATGGCTAGAGCATGTTTTGATTTTTGTTTTTCCTCTGCTGGCTCTCTCCTTCCTCCGCGCCCCGCGCCCCCCGGCCGGTGGGCGGGCGAGCCACAGTGCGTTTACCTGACTGTGGGGTCCCATCATGCTGCTAGGATTGTGAGGTGGAGGCTGTGCGTGCGGCGAGGGCTGTGACCCCGGAGGACCCTGTGAGGCCAGACAGTAGAGGCAGGTTATAGATCACAGCACATGGAGAAGCGCAGGAGAAGCTTAAAAGAACAAAAATTAAACCAAAACGAAGGGTGGGTGGCGGGCGTGCAGGGGGTGGGCTCTGGTTGGTGGGGGTAGGGTGGTGGAGCTGCTATGTGGGTCGCCGGCTCAGTGGTGCAAAACGAGGAGCAGGAGGAAAAGAAGCTGATCAATACATTCACAGGGGATTGAAAAGAATACAAAAATCAAGCACCTTTGTCAAACCACACAGGAGTAAGGTCCTGGACACAGTCTACCATTTGAATAGAGTTTGCCATGTTAAATACGTTGGTTGGGACAGGCTTAGTCAGAGTATAGTGACACCCAGAAACGGGGTGCTCTGGATGCCATCTGACTCACTCTGCCAAGTACTCAAGGTAGAGGCATAGTGACATTCACAGAGGATGTGGGAAAGACCAGGTGATGCCCCGCCCTCAAGGAGCTCACAGTCTGGGGGGACAGAGACGAGGTCACAGATAACACCAGGTAGGATTCACCCAGGTGAACGAGAGGCCCAAGCAATGAGTGTATGGAGAGATGGGAGGCAGGACTGGCTTCCCCAAGGGCACTGAAGGATGAAAAAGAACAGGGCAGAGGAACGAGATGGCACCAGAGATTGAACAACAAATGGGGGAAAGAGAGGGACAGTTACCGAGCGCCCACTAAGTGTTAGGCAACGGGCCAGGGGCTTTACGGTCCATTAATTCACCCACAGTTCAAAACAGCCCAGTGAAGTAGGGTTTCTTCATCCTACTTTTACAGATGAGGAAACCAAGTCTTAAGGGATGAACGGACTTGGCCTTGGCCACACAAGTGGAACATGGCAGAACCAGGACAAGAAGCCTGATGGGTCCAAGGCCCACCTCCGCAGCCCAGGGCTCTAGCAGAGGCAGGGGTGTGTGCAGAGGTTCAGGGAACAGGGGTGGAAGCCCCTGTCTGTTGGCGGGTAGACGGAGGGGGTTTGGTTTTGGTTGGGTTTTCCACTGCAGATACTAATGCACCCATCATTGCACCCACTGTTCCCAGCCAACCCCCGAAGCTGCAGGCTATGCTGCCCTCCACTCCCCCAGAAGAGACAGGCAGATGAATTCACTCAAACCACAGGGTTGGTCAAACTGTGGGTTGCAACCCATTAGTGGGCAGTGAAATCAATTTAGTGGGTTGCAACCATCATTTTTTAAAAACCTGAAACGAATTAAAAAAAAAAATAGAAAATACCAGAGCTTTATGTGTTTTAAGACAGGTATTTTTCATTAACCTTTGTTTCATCTGTAAATATATATACGTATGTGTCCATTCTGGGTTGCAACATCAAATGCACTTCCTACTGTGAGTCACAGCCAGAATGTGAAGGGCCCTGGCGTGGACACGCCTTCTTGCCCACCCCTTGGCATCGTGGAGCTGGACGCCTGGATGCTAGTGATGAGGTGCCACCCCCAACTTCCCAGCCCATGACTGGGCTGTTATCCTTGAGAGTTTCTTCTAAGAAACACCGAAAACATGCATCAGGGATGGACGTAGCTAAATTAGAAAAGAGAGGGAGAGAGAATCCTTCAGAGACCTAGGCAGGGTGTTCTCCCTCCGTCTTCTCCACTGAAGCCAGGGAGTGAGCCTCCTGCTGTCGGCAAACACAGCAGACAGTAATGCGCCCGCCACTGCACAGGTCGGGGAGGAGGTGGCAGGTGGGCAGGGGCCGTGGGGAAGGACGCGTGGAGGACAGGTATGCAGAGAAAGACGGCAGGGCCTGGACAGGAACTTGAGGGTGGCACTGAGGACAGGCCTGTGAGTTTCTTGGCCCAGCAAGAGGCTGCTCACTTCCGGAAAGCCCCGCGGAGCAGATGTTCCCCTACCTGCCACGCTACTAATTTCAACAAGTGCGTGTCTTTCTAGCGGCTGCCAGCAACAGCATGGTTTGTTACCATGAGCAATTTTCTTAATTAACAGACATTAATTAGCCATTTAGCAATTTTGCAAGCATTTGTTTAGCGGCTTTCCTAAACATGAATACCACTGTGATAATGGCACTGATTAGAGGGTCCCCTAATTAACAGTACAGGGAAGGAAAATTGAAATCACATAAATTAAAAAGGGAGGGGAAGTTGATGAAGGCGGGACATATTTGCACCTGCAAGTCTTTTGTACCACGAAACTTGGGTGTAAAATGTAAACAAAATAAGATAATTTGAAGCCAACTCCCCAAAAAAGGAAAATAAAAAGAGCAGAGGAGAAGGGCTCAACGGTGAGGTCCAGTTGCCAAGAGGGGACCACGGGCCTTCCGCGGGTTCCGTAACTCCTCAGCTCTTGGCAAGAAGGGAGCTCCTCCTCCTATAACTCACAACCCTTCCTCTCCCCTCCTGGCAGCACTGACTGCTTCTCCCTCAGGGCAAGCAGCGGGGCTCTGGGCAAGCCACTCACACCTCTGCTGCCCGTCAGTGGAGGCTAGTAGCAGTCGACTGATTGATTCCATTTCAGACCATAGAAAACCTAAGTAAAGCACCCAGGGGTGTCTGATACACAGTGGGGCCTCAATCAGCGGCAGCACTATTATTAAGGGCCAGTATCCAAACCCAGGTCTGGGCGGCTCTGCCTGCTGAGCTGCATCCCGGCCCTGCATTAGGGTAGCTTGGATCGGTACTCTTCCTTTGAGCTTCAGAGGGCAGAGCTGGGGTGTATGGCTCAGTTCTGTCACCTGTCAGACCCCAGGGACTGGTCACTGAGTGAGTGGACATGGCACAGCCTGCTCTCAATGTGGCTGCCTCAAGACCAAACCTCCCAATGAGCAGTGAGGACCAGGGGCAGCAGAGGTGAAGCTGGCCAGCAAGGGCCCAGCCTAGCCTCTCTGGCTTGTGGGGAGGGGAAGAGGCTGTGAAATCTGGGGAGAAAGCAGCAGCCCACAGTCTCCCCTCTGCCCTGGAGACTGGGGGCCCAGGCCAGCAGGTCACCCAGAGAGGAAACCCCACCACAATCTTGATGTAGGTGAAGATCAAGGCCAGTACTCACCTACCCCAGCACAAAGCGCCTCACCCACCCTGGCCAGGTGATGCTTATGAACCAGGCTCTGCTCACAGACGCCCCCAGCACTAATGGGAGCTCTGCGGATTACAAAGCTTTTCTCATAACGAGCCAAAAACCTACCATTTCTCTGACGGTCACCCCCGTCCACCCCAGTCTCAGCTCCGCAGAGAGCTCCAGATAGAGTGGAGATGTCAGAGACACCGAGGGCAGGGCTTGTGTGGATGTGGTGACCTGTCTGTGGACTGCGTCCTCTGTGCCTAGGCTGGGTCCCTAACAGGGCGTGTAACATCACAGGGGGACCTCACCCAGCTGGGCATGTTCTCAGGAGCAGAGAGTGAAGCCCTGTGTTTCAGGGAAACATTTGCTTCTGCAAAGAAGACAGATGGGCTGCCCACCTCCAAGAGGAAGCATGGCCTCTGCTGCCCAGTATTTTATTAGGCCACCAAAGTGGTGTTCTCGTCACAGCCTGCAGTCTTAACACGGGACCTGCAGGTCTGGAGAAAATGGATTTCCTGGCTTTTTACCTCGTTACCCATTCGAGCAAAAGGCTACTTAAGAGGCAGACCAAAAAAGGCTCTTATTTGGGGATTTTACCTTTGTTGGGATGGAGGCTTCTCTCTTCTCCAAGTTACCTCCTCCCCTTGTCCCACAAACTCTGAACAGATCTGGTGGAGAGGACCGTGGCGCGAGGCAAGTGGCTGAGGGAGGCGCAAAGATGAATACACTCACCAGTTTTCCCATGCAGGACAACGCCCCCACGGGGCCTTCCTGGCTTCCACTTACAGAAAGCTTTTCAAGAATCCAAAATAAGTGCGTCTGGAAGCCTGCTTGGCTGGGAGAACCTCTGTGCCCAGCTCCATTTAGACTGTCCCCACCCAAGGACCTTAAAGGCTTTCTGTCCCAGGCGCTGCCTAATTAAGCCTCCTGGCATGCCACAGAGGAGGTGAGCAGATACCGGGCTAGAGCTGGGCGGCCAGGTGCCCCTTCCTGGAAGCTTATGGAGAGCTACACCTGCCCAGGGGTCACCCGCTTGTCAGGTGACTCTGACAGATTCTGCACCCTTCCCTCCAACCGACACCCTAATTCACAGAGGAGAAAGAAGAGAAGGCTAGAACAGGGTGACTTGTCCAAGGCCACAGATAAAGTGGGCAGCTGAGCCACATCTCCTAACTCTCATCCAGGGTTCTTTTCATGACATCATGTCCCTGGTCATGTCTATTTTAGTTAAGAAAATGGAGTTTGCAAAGAACTGAGTTTGAATCCTGACTCCAAGATTCTGTTTTCTCATCCACAAAATGGGGACAATCGCAGTGGTAATAACAGAACTACACATTCCATGCACTTGACGTGGTCTTTACCTGTAGTAGCTCACTCAGTCCTCGACTCCTTGCAGTAAGTATTATCAGTTGCTCCACTTTACAGTGGAGGAACCGAGGCTCAGAAAGGTGAAGCCTGGTCCAAGGCTGCAGCTGTAAGTGGCAGAGCCAAGACTCAATGCCAGGTCTGATTCTAGAGCCCAAGAGGGCCTTGGCTACCCCACCTTTCTACAAGCCAGCAAGTGGGTGCTACCATGGCATGTGCCAGGGCACAGAAGGTGAGGTGCAAGCAGGAATGGATGCTAGAGGCTGAAGGACTTATGGGAGCATCTCATCATTCACCCATGAGTGTCCTCGGTGCTGGCCTCTTGTGTGGCTGGTGGCACCGTGTTGGGGCATGGAGGTGCATCAGCCACATCCTGGCCTGGGGAGCTCTTAGGCTACTTGAGGAGAACGACGAAGACACAGTGACAGACAGGCTCTAGTATCAGCTTAAACTGACATGGGCTCCAAGAGAAGGCGATGCCTAGCGCGCTCACACTTCCCAGTCAGGTAAACTGAAGCCCAGCGTGGTCATAAGATGTAGGGAGGTCCCTCAATGAGCCAACAGGGAGCTGGGATGAGAAC